CTGAGCCACCGCTATAGAGCCTGCGCTCCGGAGCCCAGAGGCTGAAATCACTGACGCTCAAGCTCTGCAACAAGAGAAGGCCCCACAAGGTGACCGAGCACCGCAACGAGAGAGGAGCCCCCACTGCCTCAGCTAGAGAAACACCCGAGCAGCAGCACAGAATAAAAGTAAATAAATACTAAAGCCAGAAGACCGTTACGAAGAGTTTTTCAATACACCTAGCGGCAAGCCTGCCCCTTCCCTAGAACAGAACTTTGTTCTTCAGCCCAGAGCAAATAGCTGAGCTGAATTACGCTTCGGGACTTTATAAGGTGTTGACACAATATTGACTTTCACATCGTAAATGGGCCACCCTAATAATCCCCCTTTAATTACTGTTTATTATAAATGAATGCTCTCAGCATTCCACTGTGGCACTTTCCATTTTTCTGTCAGTGAGGTTTCCTCTGGGGAAACTTTCGCCCCCAGGTACCAATGATCTGATCCCAGACATGCATGGATCTGGAGACCTTGGGGAATAGCACCTGGGATGCTGGAGGCAACATCCTTGTGGATACTCAAAAATATAAAAACTAAACAGGCCCGTAAAAATGATAGAAGAAGGCACTGCGCCTTCAAAGCAAACGTCCTCTAAAGACTGGATTGCCTATTCATGAGTTAGCATCAGTTCCATCCTGGTCAAATTTCTTTTCTATGGAAGACTGACAGCTAATGAGAATTAACAGGAATAATAACTTCCTCTATCCAGTGGCTCACATGTAACGCATACTAGGTTGACAACACAGAAATGTAAGAAAAGGATAGGAGACAATCTGCGTGTGCCTTCAGAGTGGTAAAAGAGTCTAGAGGTCAAGCCAAAATTGAGCTAACTTTTACAATCGTTCTGTAAAAGAACAGCTGGCCTTAAATGGAATGTCAAAGGCTGGATGTTATGGTAACACAATATACAGAAATTAGAAAAAAAAAAATCAGGTCAATTAATACTGTTTTCCCTGCAAGGATCACACAGACCAAATTCTGTGAAATAAATATTTATGATAAGCAAAGCTCATGGTAAGAGAATGGGACTATTCATTATCACCAGAGAAGGACATTACCACCAATAGATGAAGCTGAGATTTTTAAAACTTTGGGTAATTAATTTCAATCAGAGCTGGATTCAAGGTCAGTTGTGTAATACCAGCCATTATTTTCCCTTTGCTACCTGTGGCAGGCATTCTCCATGGCTCATCCATAAATTAAGACCTGAGGATCTGCTGTATCAGCTTAACTACTGTAGGGAAATGCAAGATTTTATTTCATTTGTAACTTCTGAGAGAAAGGGAAACAACCTTCTCTGCATATTAAGAGATGAGGCTTACTTCCTACATAAACAATACAAACGTTTGTTTTTAAGTGCTCGGTATGTTCATTTCCATCTGGACCTTTCTAAACTGCTGGAGTAAATTGAGAAAAATTATAAAAGCAAAAGCCTTATGCACATACTGCCAGCATGAAATCATTTAAATCTGAGGTAACCTCCAACTGACAACAGTGAGTCATCAGGATAATGTAATATTTTGTGAGACACATGATGAAATAATGATTTGAAATTTAGCAACATGAATCACACATCCAAAGCATGAGATGGGTGCCCAAAGGAACTCCTGAGATTTCCTCGTTTAGGAATGGTTTGGGAAAGACAATCTCTAGGATGTCCCTAAAATGAAAAGTAGACTTCACAGGGTCAAGGTTATTTGATGAGCAGGTCAAAACGTTCAGTTGGTAATATTTTAATTTCTTCAGTGAAAATGATTTTGATTTTTCTTCCTCCTTATAAATGTTTCATTTAATTTACAAACAGATGCATCTTTGAAATATGTATATGAAAGAGAAGAGATTCAGTTACAATCAAAAACATTACATCTCAATTTAATAAGTGTTCATGTGCATATATGCAAAACTCAACTAATATCATAGTGCAGGAGAAAGAACAACAAATTAGATATTAAAGATTTTAAGGTAGCACCTAATCCAGATTTTTAAAAAATGTAAAATATGCAATTTACCCAGTTCTAAGCAGACTTCTAAGAGGAGTCTGCTATGGTAAAATGGAAAGAACTGTGAGTTTGAATCACAATTTGAGGTAGAACTGTGAAATCATAAGGGATTATATATGCTATTGAAGAAGGAAATGGCAACCTATTCCAGTATTCTTGCCTGGAGAAATCCGTGGACAGAAGAGCCCAGAGGGCTGCAGTCCATGGGTCACAAAGAGTCAGACACGACTGAATGACTAACAACAACAACAACAATATATGCTATAGTTAGTTGAAAATCACTGTACAAATTTAGGGAAACAAAGGACAGAGGAAAGAAAAGCAAGGATATGAAGAAAACATGAGGGACTAGAGAGTCACACTTCCATGGCCTTGTATGTTTCAAAGGAACAATTGTGCTTGGGGATGGTCACCACTGTGACCCTAGGTCGTTCCACCAATACTGCCAGGGAGGGTACACAGATGCAGCTGCTCACATAACTTGAGTAGGTTTCCTTTCATGCATCTTATGAGCAGCCCCAAGCCCCAAACCAGTTACCTGGGGTCCACAGTGAAGTTGAAGTACCTTTATATCCATTGCCATCAAACTCATTCATCCTTATCATTCTCTATCACTGTGTTCCTCTACCAGCTATGCTACTATAATAATATGTACTTTCATATTAGATTAAGAGCATTCATCATAGTGACAAAATGGAGGTTAACCATTAAATGCCAATAGTTAAGAAGAGCAAAGTAAAAGCCCTCACAAAATGGTAGGTCCTTAATTGTTGTCGGTCAGATACTGTGATCCCTTTAAAGAGTATGTTATTAGCCCTTAATACTGTTTGCCAGCTACAGGAAATAAAGGTCCACCACTTCTTCTGCTGAATATTTGAAGATCTCCTCTTTCTACCTAAATATTCGGAAGCCCCTCCCATCCTACTGAATAAAGGCAGTTCTCAGAAGGACATTATTCTGAACTTGAGTATAGGAAATCCAATAATTTCAAGGCTAGATGTATGTGTAAAAGAAAGCCTATAATGTCAACATATTCAGAAGGTTCGTACGATTGTCTCTCTGCCAACTTCCTTACTTTTGGTTGTAAAGTTCTTGGTTGAAAAAGATTCCTTTTTTTCAAAACAGTGTTACTGAGATATAACTGAGATAGAAAAAACTACAGATATTTAAATTGTACAACTTCTGATTAAATGAATTTGGATATTCGCATATACATCATCATTACAATCAAGGTAATAAAATATCTATCATTTCAGGTGGCACTAGCGGTAAAGAATTCACCTGCCAATGCAGGGGAATCAAGAGATGTTGTTTGATTTCTTCTCCCCTGGAGAAGGCAATGGCTACCCACTCCAGCATTCCTGCCTGGAAAATTCCCTGGACAGAGGAGCCTAGCGATCTACAGTCCATGGGACCCCATCGAGTTGGACATGACTGAGTGACTGGGAAAACATCTCTTCTAAAAGTTGCCCCCTGCCCTGCCCCTGTGGTTTTTGGGTGTTTTTCTTTGCTTATTTGTTTTTAAAATGCTAAACACAAGATTTACCCTCCAACATAATTTGTACAGTATTGTTAACCATAAGGCACTATGCTATCCGGCTGATTTATAGGACTTTTTCATCTTGCATGACTAAAACTTTATTCTCACAGAACAAAAACTACCAATATTTCTCTCCCATCAATCCCTGGCCTCCATCTTTCTACTCTCTGCTTCTATGAGTTTGACTATTTCAGATACCTCATAAAAGTGGGATCTTATAACGTTTGTCCTTCTGTGACTGGCTTATTTCACTAAGCATCATGTCTTTCAGGCTCATCCATGTTGCCATATATGACAGATTTCCTTCTTTTAAAAGCTGAATTATAGTTGTGTGTGTGCCTGGCATTTTCTTTATCCATTCATCCATCAGTGAACATTTAGGCAATTTCCATATCTCGACTATTATGAATAATGCTGCAATGAATGTGGGAACACACATACCTCTTCAATATCCTGACTTCAACTTTTTTCAGTATGTTACTAGATGTGAACTATGTACCAGAAGCTCTTTTTTAGCTTTTTGAGACCCTTTCTTACTGTTTTCTATAACAGATAAACAAATTTGCATTCCTGATCAACAGCGTGCAAGGATTCCAGTCTCTCCACAACCTAAGCAGCACATATTATCTGTTTGTTTCTTGATAATAGCCATCCTAATGGATGTGAGGTGATACCTCACTGTAGGTCAGATTTTCATCTCCCTAGTGATTAGTGATGTTGAGCAGCTTTTCATATACATGTTAACCATTTGTCTATTTTCCTAGAGAAATGTTTTTTTTAAATCCTTTGTCCCTTTTAAATCAGGTAACTTTTTTTTCACTGTTGAGTTGTAGGAATTCTTTCTTTATTTTGGATATCAACCCCCTAACAGATATATATTGTTTGCAAATATTTTCTCCCATTTCATAGGTTGACTTATTATTCTGTTGATAGTTTCCTTTATTGTGCAAAAGCTTTTTAGTTTAACAAAGTCCCAGTTGTCTATTTTTGTTGTTGCTACCTGCATTTTTGGTGTCATATCCAAAAATTGCCAAGACCAATGGCTTCAAGCTTCTCACTCCAATATTTCTTTTAAGAATCTTCGAGTTTCACATGTTTATCCTTACTCCATTTTGAGTTGATTTTTTTGTATACTATGAGATAAGGTTAAAACAAATTCTAATTGCACATCCTGATTCTGTTTTAATTTCCTAAAACAATAATAAAAATAACACTCAAATTATCCTGAAGAGAAGAAATACATAGAGCACTAAGATTAATTTATATAAAGGTCTACAAATTCACTTATATTTTTACGTCGATTTTTGTTTTGATCTTCTCTGAGCATTTAGAGTTGCTTAAGCATAAAAGAATCTTGTGATATATGTGTGGCTTAAGAACTCTGACTCACAGTTCAATCAAATATGACATGCCATGCTTACCTAAAATATGAAAGTATTAGTTCAACAAAGATGTATTTAAAATACATTTCAGCAGCTAGAAAAGGAACACAAGAAACCAAAAGGCCAAAATTATAATAATCAAAGGGAAGCCTTTGACTTAGTTTAGTATTTCTCAAAGATAGAAAAAAAGGTTTTTTGAGTTTTGAGACTAATATGCCTAAATTGAGCTGCACGATTTAAGTTTGCTTTAGTTTATTCTTTAAGAAGAACTTGGAAATAAATTAGCAAGTGAGCTGGTAAAAGAAACAGAATGTAGAGATGGAAGGCGAAGACAATTTGCCCTCCTGAGGCTTGGAGCCTGAAGGCCTGTCTTCCGTTTCAGAAAGCGTGATACACTTTCCCAGTGTAGCCAATCTATCATACCCCCAAGAGGGTGCGCGCTACACCGTTCCCTCCAAGGGGCTCCAGAGGTAGCAGATTTATAATAAAAATAATTCTGCCTTTTCACATGCTCCAGTCTTAAAATCTGGTGGAGCAGATTACTTTTTTCACAAAGGATTTGTTATTGCACGCAGTTGTTTCAGGCCATGTTTCGCCTTTGAAATCACAGCTTTTGCTATCTTTCATTTTTATTTTTCTTTTCTGTGTCCTCTGGGCCATTAGCAACCTGCTCTCCAAGATGTCACAGAAAAGAGGCTCACTTCGACCTTGGTTTATCTCAGAGACTTTAGAGCATGTGGATTTAGATGGTGACTAGATTGGCACCTGCTGATACTGGCTTGTGGTTCGGAGCGGCTAAGAGAGCCAGCCTAGACGCTGATGTAGCAGATAGGATTCTTCCATTTGGCTTCACTCCAGCATATGCTAAGTCTGTGCACCTCAGACAAGTTTCTTAATGCTTTCATGTCTCATCTCAAAAATGGGCATCAGATTTTACCTAAATCTACATGGTTACCTTGGGCTTCCACGTGGCGCTAGTGGTAAAGAATGTGACTGTCAATACAGAAGATGTGAGATATGCGGGTTTGATCCCTGGGTCAGGAAGATCCCCTGGAGAAGGGAATGGGGATGCACTGCAGTATTCTTGCCTGGAGAATCCCATGGACAGAGGAGCCTGGCAGCCTAGAGCCCATGGGGTCGCAAAGAGCTGGACACGGCTGAGCAGCTAAGCAGGCAGAGGGTTATCAGATTCTCCACCAGAATTTTTTAGGGTTTAGAAATAACATGAACCCTATATTGTTGGTCTCCGAATTTGCTTTCTTCCAACTTATGTGCTCAGAAAGTCCTGACTGCCTTTGTAGACAAATCTCCTTTGTCTACATGGCATGAAAGTGAAAGTCGCTCAGTCATGTCCAGCTCTTTGTGGCCCTATGGACGGTCCATAGTCCATGGAATTCTCCAGGCCAGAATACTGGAGTGGGTAGCCTTTCCCTTCTCCAGCGGATCTTCCCAACCCAGGTCTCCCTCATTGCAGGCGGATTCTTTACCAGCTGAGCCACGGGGTAGCCCCTGGCATGGATACCCTCTATTTCAGTGACTTAACCCCGGAGGGAGGGAATTGTTGCTGCTGGGTTTTTGGGTTTTGTTCTTGTTGGCCATACCGCCATGCAGCATATAAGATGTTATTTCCCAGACCAGGGATCAAACCCATGTCCCCTGCAGTGGAAGTGTGGGGTCTCAACCACTGGATGGCAAGGAAGTCTCATTGGTGGTTTTTAATGGCATGAAAATAGGTTCCAGGGGATTCAGTCATCCTGAAATTTCATGCACTTCATGAAGTAAGCAATACTCTCCCATTTCCACATCCCCCACCTGCATCTATTCACATTTGGAAATGACTTACTGTGTAAAGCTGCTTCAAACACACGTGCATACTTTGCCTTGGACTTGGGAGGTATAGAACTGGATGACGTCAAAGACGTCAAAATAAAGCTGCAAACATATGGAACCAACATCAGAGGTTAGAGTGGCGCAGGTGAGGCATATTTGATGTAGAGAAGCCAGACCTGGGAAGAGCTCCGGGACTCGGTGAGGAGAGCAAATTTAAAGGCCCCCAGAGGAGACTAAGCTTGGTGATAAGATGAAGGCCACGGCAGCATCACCGCACAAGGGCAGAGGTGGAAAGAGACAAGAAGAGGTGGTTGTATTAGTTTCCTAGGGCCACTATGGTGGTTCAAAGCAAGACAAATTCATTGTCTCATAAACCAGGAGGCCAGAAATCGAAATTAAGGTGTCTGCAGGGTTGTTCTCTTCAAGAGGTTCTAAGGAAAAATCTGTCCCATGCCTTTCTCTCAGCTGTTGGTGGTGGCTGGTGGGCCTCGATGTTCCTGGACTTGGAGACCTGCATCCTTCTAATCTCAGTCTCCACCTTCATCCCTGTGTCTCCTCTCTGCCTTAGAGTCCCTTCTTTTCTTCTTGGGAGGACACCATTCATATCAGATTCAGAGTCATGCTTATCCAGTATGACCTCATTCTTACATAACTGGTTACATCTGCAGAGACCCTGTTTCCAAACTAGCTCACCTTCTTAGGCTCCAAGGGACACTATTCACCGGAGCACAGAGGGCCACCAACTGTCAGATCATACAGGGCCTGGTGACCCATTGCATGGAACTTGGGTTTTTGTGTTGTTCTGCTTTCCTAAATGCAATATCAAATCTCCAGAGATTCTTAGAGGAGAAAAGAAGTAACTTAATATATACACTGGTAAGACCATTCTGGGACTTCCCTGGTGGCTCAGATGGTTAAGAATCTGCCTGCAATGCAGGAGACCCAGGTTCAAACCGTGGGTGGGGAAGATCCCCTGGAGTAGGAAAGGCAACCCACTCCAGTACTGTTGCCTGGAGAATGCCATGGGCAGAGGAGAGTGGTGGGCTACAGTCCAAGGGTTCTCAAAGAGTCAGACCCAACTGAGCGACCAGCACTTTCACTTTCAGGATCATTCTGACCAGTATATAAAGAAAGTTCTCAGTAGAAAAGAAGAGACATGTGAATAGCCAGTGTACTGACTCCTGCGGTCATGAGGGAGAGAGACGACAGAGGCTTGAGCGAGCGTGTCGGCATTTACAGCCGAGGGGTGTGGACCTTGGGGGAAGGCTCTGAAGGATGTAAGTAACACGTGTGGCTGACGGGGTTGATGTGGGAGTGAGGGGTAGGGCGGGACCGGGGATTTCTGGTTTGAGTAACTGGGTGGAGGACGGTACCACTCACACGAGACGGAAGGCTGCCAGCTGGGTGGGCTGGGCTGGAGCGGTGCGTTCCGCGGCGGATACACTGTAGGCGCGCTGCACGTTAAGAGTTCCAAGTGGAGATAACATAAGGCAGTTGGAGCCTGGAGAGAGGTCACTATGTGAAAGATACATTAGACAGTTATCTGCAAGTGAAGGGTGATTAAAGCCATGCTGGATGAGGTCATCTGGAGTTTGAGCGGAGAGCGAGAGGAGAGCCTGTCATGCATCCCGGGATGCAGTCGGGCTTGGAGGCTGGAGACAAAGGCGAAGACCCAGGAGAGAAACTGGGTGAGGGGAGCTTTGGAGGAAGGAGGAAGCCCAGGAAGGGCGGGGATCGGGAATCGTAGCGCTGCTCTTGCCGCTGTGCCTATGGTGATGTGGAAGTCACACGTGGGAGGTTCCGTTCACTGCTCAAAACACTGCTTTTTCTACCAGTTGCTGCTCTGGTGGGACTCTCCCTATGGGGTGAATGATCATCATTCAGCACTGACATAAGGCTTGGCTGTGCGACTCGCTGTGGCCCACGAACTGTGAGCGGAAGTGGTGAGCTACTCACCCAACAGAAGCTTCCAAAGCCATTGCGTGCTCTGCATTGCACTGTTCCTTCAAGGTCAAGATCCCGGCTGGGACTCACTCCTTCAGCACAAACCCCACCGAAGGAGATACGAACAGCAGGTCTCCACCCAGCACTCTGTGTGGGGAGAAATACACCTTCCTTCTGGGAGCCGTGGAGACTCCGAACTAACCTCTAACCACAGGAGAACCTAGAGAGAGCCACGGAAACCATCACATCCTATGTAGGGAAGTTGTAAAATGAGATGCTCTTCATGGCTCTGGAGCCCACGGGGTTGTGGGAAGAACAGCAAACTTTACATCAAACTTATCTAAGGTCAGAGCCCAAGTCTGCCACATACTAAGTTCTGAACATCCGCAAATGAACTGATGTCTCTGAACCTCAATTTCCCATCTGTATTACAGGACTGCTGTGGGATTAAATGTGACCATATTGGCAGAGCACGTGGTATATTTCCCACCTCTCTCTCCACAAAACATCTTCAAGGTGTGTATATATATATATATATGAATGTATATATATGAATATTGTATATATTATATATATGAATTATATACTATATATATATATATATGAATATTCATTGGAAGGACTGATGTTGAAGATGAAACTCCAATACTTTGGCCACCTGATGCAAAGAACTGACTCATTTGAAGAGACCCTGATGCTGGGAAACATTGAAGGTAGGAGGAGAAGGGGACAACAGAGGATGAGATGGTTGGATGGCATCACCGACTCAATGGACACAAGTTTGAGTAAACTCCAGGAGTTGGTGATGGACAGGGAGGCCTGGCATGCTGCAGTCCATGGGTCACAAAGAGTCAGACACAATTGAGTGACCAAACTGAACTGATATATACATATATATATATATTTTCTTCTTTCTTTCATTATCTGTTAACTCAGGTTTAGCATTCAAGGCACTGCTAGGTTGCTCATAGCATCACCAATTCATGAGAAAGGGGAGGATATAAGCAAAGAATCCACAGAGTCCAGGGCTGGGGCCTGTCCCTGCTCTTGGACTGGCCCCAAGGGGACAGCAGGGTGTCCAAGAAATGGAGGTCACACCACTGTGAGTACAGCCTTCATTCACCAAAGGTTGGCCGCAGGGACGCATTCAGGTCCTCTTCAATAACTGAGGTAACCAAGGGGGATTCATAGGGATAACAGAGAAAATGGTAGACCTTTAGTGTCTGGACTAAGTTTGGGCAAAAGGAAGGCTAGAACTCTTAGTGATTAAAACGGAAGAAAAACAGGCTTAAGGCTAAAGACTCAGAAGTTAGTAGAGAATTAATATCTCACCTAAACTACATTATCCTTTTGAAATAGGTATAGTCATACCCATTTTACAGGTGAAGAACTTGACGCTGAGAGATTAGATAACAGAACTGGAAACAGCACCCAATTTTATATGCCCCCCAGAGTCCATATTCTTTCCACTTTGCACACTGCTTCTCCAAAAATAATAAATAAATAAACTTGGAAGTCAGAGATCTAAAAATATGACCTTAGCCTACAAAACAACTGAAAGGGGGAGGGGAAATCTTGACAACATACGATCACCCAAAAACTTGTACAAAAAATATGATCCTAGAACATTATTCTTTTTTAAGACTTTTTTTGGATGTAGACCATGTTTAAAGTCTTTATTGAACGTGTTACACTATGGCTTCTGTTTTATATTTTGGTTTTTTGGCCAGAGGCATGTGGGATCTTAACTTCCTGACTAGGGATCAAACCTGTACTCCCTGCCTTGGTAGAAGTCTTCAACACTGGACCTTCAAGGAAGTCCCTAGCAGCTTTATTCTTAATAGCCAAAAAGTGGAAAATAACCCAGGTATCCATCAATGGGTGAATGGGTAAACAAGCTGTGGTCTTTGCATACAAAGGCATATTATTGAGCCTCATAAAATGAAATGCTGACACTTGGTGAACATGGATGAACTTTGAAAACATCATGCTCAGTGAAAGAAGTCAAACATAAAGGCCATATACAGTATCAGTTCATTTATGTGTAATGCCTAGGATAGGTCAATCCATAGAGGCTTAAGTAATCTAGATGACTACTTGCAGAAGAAAGAGATAAAAGGGAATGGGATGATGCTTGATGGGTGTGGGGTTTATTTGTGGGGTGACTAAAATATTCTGAAACTGGTGATAATGGTTCAACCTTGGGAATGTGCTAAAAACTATGGGACTGTGCATTTCAAAACTATGAATTTAATATTATCTCAATGAAAAGAAAAGGGCAGAAGAAAGGTATGATTAGGGAGTGTCTTCTTAGTAGCACTTGGCATTAAGGCTTGTAAGCTGCTGACTCAATTCCCAATTGGACAGTTCTATTTTTGGTTTTTTAAGGCGCCTCCATACTGCTCTCCACAGTGGCTGTACCGACTTACATTTCCACCAACAGGTCAGGAGGGGTCCCTTTTCTCCACACTTGCTCCATAATTTATCATCTAAAGATTCTTTGATGATGCATTCTGACTGGGGTGAGATGATACCTCATGGTCATTTTGGTTTACACTTCTCTAACAATGAGTGATGTTGAGCATCTTTCCATGTGCATGTTGGTCATCTACATGTCTTCTTTGGAGAAATGTCTGTTTAGGCCTTCTGCCCATTTTTTGAATGAGTTGTTTGTTTGGTGATATGGAGCTGCATGAGCTGTTTGTATGTTTTGGAATTAATTCCTCATCGGCTGCTTTGTTTGCAAATAATTTCTTCTACTCTGAGGGTTGTCTCTTCATCTTGTTTATGGTTTTCTTTGCTGTGCAAATGCTTTTAAGCTTCATTAGAGGCCATTTGTTTATTCTTGTTTTTATTTTCACGACTCTAAGAGGTAGGTCAAAAGTGATCGTGCTGCGATTTATGTCAAAGAGTGTCCTGCCTGTGTTTTCCTCTAAGAGTTTTATAATGCCCAGCCTTACATTTAGGCCCTTAATCCATTTGAAGTTTATTTTTATATATGGTGTTTAGGGAGTGTTCTAATTTCATTCTCTTACATAAGTATGGCGGATTCATTTTGTGGACTGCACAAAATAGCACAATGTTGTGAAGCAAATATACGCCAATAAAAATTTAAGAGAAAATTCCCAACTGGATTGCTTATCTGGAGTCTAAACCCCACAGTCTTCGTGGGGGTTGGAGGGGAGGCTTGCATCTCAGCAGCCCCTTGATCCCGGCTGAGTGAGGCAGGGGGCAGAGCCTGGGGCCCGTGGCTGGCAGGGCAGCAAGAGAGGCAGCCACCCCGGGCCAGAGACCAGGAGGTCTGAATATGAAGATGCACTGTGTATGGACTCCCCCAGGCTGTGCAAGTCACGTCCAGAGAGGACTCCGGGACCCTGGGGCCAGAGAGAATGCCCATCAACTTTCAACTCCAGGGAATTACATCAGGATCCTCAGCTATCTTGAGAATCCCCTGAGGAAAGGAGGAGACATGAAGTGCAGGAGAGCAAAGAGCCTGGTCCACGGCAGGGCAGGTAGATCTCCATGCATAGGCATCTGTTAGATGCCACAGGTTCCCTGGGCTCTCACCAAATGGATGGCATCTTCAGATCAGCACAGTGACTGAGCAAGTTCACCAGGGACAGAACCACCAGGACGCAGTCAAGACTGCCCTGCTGCCCAGATTCCCTCCCAATCCCTGCCATCACACCTCCAAGTTCCAGGAGCACAGGCATGCTCTCTGACTCTTGCCAAGGAAATGATTCACCATCTGAGGACAGCAGTGATGATAGGGGCCCTGGCCTGGGAGGTGGCAATTAGCTCAGTGTGTGTGTCTGTTTGCGCGTGTGGTATGTGCGTATTAGTCACTAAGTTGTGTCCAACTCTTTGGGACCCCACGAACTGTAGCCCGTCAGACTCCTCTGTCCATGGAATTCTCCAGGCAAGAATACTGGAGTGGAGAGCCATTCTCTTCTCCAGGGGATCTTCCTGACCCAGGGATGGAACCCAGGTCTCCCACACTGCAGGCAGATTCTTTACCATCTGAGCCACGAGGGAAGCCCAGCAATGAACTGGAAACAGGTAAAACAGGAGGCGGGGGGGAGCAGCCAGAGGCCTTCCCTCCAGGCTTGATTCCCCATTGCTTCAGCGACCATAGGACCATGCTGTGCTGTGGCTCCCGGTGGAAACTGGAAACTGGTGAAAACTTAGCTCCCTTTAGTTCTGGATGGGGTCCCCACGTGCTTCCACCAGGCAGGGAAGGATGATCTCTGTTCTCTCCTCCTGAGGGGTCATCTCTCCATCTTGTGCTCCCTGGAAGACTGTGCTCAGAGGAACTCAGAGGGATACAATTAACAACAGTTTGTTATTTCAGCCTAAAATAAGGAAATCAGGCAGTGATGTGCAAGGAGCATTCAGAAAGAAGCTTGTAGTCTTTATTCTTGGCCACCACGTCCAGAAAAAATAAAACCAGAAAGTGTGAGTACCACGTCACCTCCACAAGTCACAAATGCATTCCCTGGTACCATCCTGCAGCGTTTTGCAAAATCTTTGTATTTTCTTTGTT